AACACTCTTACTCCATAACTGCTACAGTCCCCTTTTCTCTCCCAGAAACTCTAGATTTAACACAGCTAATCAACTTCAAAGCTTTTCACACTCGTGTCATCTCCATTTCCCTCATTATTCCTAGCTTTGTATTTGTCCACATCCCAGTTTGCATACACCCATCTTAGACTGTGACCATCTGCAAGAGACCGGGACTATGGAAACATAACCCAGTCACCCCACTGTCCCACACCAGTCTGCAAGAGGATTCCTTCAGCAAATTATACTGTTAGTAAAAAGGTTTTATAAAAAGGATGAGGAGCCTAATTAACTCACCTAAGAAACCTGTGGCCTCTTCCTATTGATACATATTCCCTCCACCAAAGAAAAGTGCCAAAGGCCACCTTAAATTGCTGAATGCAGAGGTGACAGTGGCACTGACCACAGTGCTCTCCTCTGTGGAGCGCAGAACCAGGGCAGGTCTGCTGTTACCTCAGGTCTACCCCTTCCTTCCCCAAGCACCTTCCTCTGCAACATGAGCTGTTTCCCAAGAGGTGCTGGGCTCTTCTTCACTAATGCTTCTCCAAAGATTGACCAGGCAGACTGCCTCATGGGGAAACTCGCTCTCTGCATATCGCTTCCCCCAAACTCTAGTTCAGTCGCAGCAGCTTCTGAACAAGAAGAGCTCACAGCATCAATAACAGCGAACAACTGACCCAAAATTATTTTGCCTCACTAACCCCTGGCTCCATAAGGCAATAAGAAAGTAAATTAAAAAGGTGTGCATGAAACATTTTGCAAATAATTATAAACCTAACCAAATTCAGAGATAAGCTGCAGGTCTGAACTTTCAAAACTCGGACTAATTTTGAAGAACGTCTATTTTTGCATTGAGATAAGAACCTAATGCAGCAGGGAGCACTATTTAGAAACACAGCGAGCACAGCAATATTGGCAAACTGACACCACTGCATCCTTATATTGATCCTATTGCTGCATCCAGCTAAGCTTGCTGGGATCAACACTAACGATCTCACTGTTCTTAATCACAGAGCTGGAAACAAAGTACACCCAAACAGAACGGTTTGTTTCTCCCTTTCAAGAAAAACTATCAGCATTCACATCAGAAGAATTCAACAGTGAGTTCACATACACTAGCTGAAGAAGATATGGTTAAGGGGTGTTATCCTTCCCAAATCCTGCTCTGATCCCTCCTCTTCTTAAATTAGGGTTGTGCATCTCAGAGCACTCTAAAATGTTATTAAATATCCTCGTGCTTTGTTTTCAGCAAACATGAGGTAATTTGCTATCTTCATCCCACCTAGTTATATTTTACAATAAAACCAGGAACATTTAAAGTCAATTATTTAAGATGATCTCGTAGCCTGCTTAAAATGAAAGAAAATCAAAAGCAAACTGAATGGCAGATGAGTATATTTGCTGTAAAAATGCTTTTTAGTATGTTGAGCTCCCTTCGCCACCCCCTAGACATAAGACTGATTTATGACAGAACCAAGATATTCTTTCAAGCTGTCAAAACGATAAAATAAAGAGATACTGAGTGGAAAACACTGGACTGCCACAGGCTAAACTGAGTGGTAAACATTTAGCACAGAATTCCTTCTTCCTTTGGTTTGAGGAAAGCAAATGTGCCCACCTTCTTGCCTTCTCCGTATATAAGGGGAAACTTCAAGTCATCTTCCTCAATGGTTTTGTATGCCCTGTGGGGGGAGAACAAACAACATTTATAAAGCTTGCACTCAATTAGTGACCCAGTGCCCTGAAACAAACAGCTGTGATTAAAAAAAAAAAAAAAAAAATCATTATTTTTCCTAGGGACTCTCTCTTTGAACCAAGTCCTGTGTAACAGTAACAATTTTTCAGGGTAGTGCCTTTTAAAACTTACCAAAAGGAAAAGCGAACACAAGGAAATATCAAACATGCCGAGCTGCTCCTATTGCTTGCATGGAAAAAGAGGCAGACTGGAATAACATCCTAATCATGTAAAATATCATTGGCTATGGCAGCAGCTATAACATAATACAGTGTCATAAAAAAAACCCCAACCAAACAAAAAATACCCCAAACCCAGGAAGCTAACCAATGACTAGATTAACACTGTTAATGTGAAATGGTGAGCAACAGCAGGATGTGTACATAAAGTGTGAAACAGCTCTCCGATCCTGTTCTCGCCTGTTTCAGGACTGCTTAAAGCAAGACAAGCTTCACATGCTGAAGAGTCTTAGAAGGATATTTAGTGCTCATTTGACCTTGACTGCAACAGTCAAGGTTGTCAGAGATTTGACGTTTCACAGCAGCTTTCCCATGGCCAAGAGAAGTAAATGCTCATGTTCTAATTCTGTTTACTGCATGCCTGCATACTCATACCTTTTACACATCCAGCTGCTGACACTGATGAGGTGAGAAGGTGAGCAATTTTGGCAGTGAGAAATAAAATTTAAAAAAATCCCCACAAACCAGACTGTTGTCATTCTCATAAGCTGCAGAGTCCTGTGGTTTGTGTAACACATGCTCAAGCCAGGGTGCTGGGGAGCTTCTTTGCTTAGAGTACATCACCCCAGAGGGATATACTTCCCCTCATAACACAAAATTATCCCTCTCCAGCCTTCCCCTGCACATTGTCCTTCCCTCCTGGCCCACCCCGCCCAAAGCTCTTCTGGTGATACTAAAATCATTCCGTTAGCATGCAAGTCGGCACTCCCCACCAAAGTGGAAGGGAGAAGTGGGAGGAGGAAAGGTGCCGGGGCAGGTTCCCTGCCAGCCACCACCAGCCCCTGCTGCAGTGCTCTCCAGCCAGGCTGACTGCTTGAGCTCTGGGGAGTCACATTTGATCAGGTTTAAGTAATGTTAAGGCTGAGACACAAACCAGCAGGAAACTAAAACTTAAGGGTGAAATCCTGTATTGTAATTAAACTGCCCCCTGCTTCACCAAAATGTGGCATAGACCTGCAATCAGGTTTAGTCATGAGAGGAGGGGGAAGAAAAAAGGAAAAGCAACCAAAATGCAAGGACGAAACAGTAGTGGAGGACTCCACTCATGTAGTACAAAACATTAGTACGTGTGAAATCCCAAAATGGTACCAGGTAAGGTTTGCAAAACACAGTGGGTGCTTCATGGGAGACCACATATCTGGGGTATATAACCATGATACTTGGGCATTTCTGTAATAGACAATATAGAGAAGGCATTTAAATGGCATTTTGTACTCAGGATGGCTAACAGATTAGCTCTTAAACCAAAGAAAAAAAGCACAAATCACTACAAGTAGCCAGCACAGTAAAACTTCCCTGATGTTTAAATCCTGGAATAGCATTTTGTTGGGAAGGATGAGTCAGTCATGGATTTTGCTCTTGTTCCTTCCTTTGTTTTCAACAGGGAATAGCAAAACATGTCTGCCTCACTCACCAACTTGGATATCCTGCTTTGAATGTGCAGGAAGAGTTTTACCACCCCTGACAGCTCATGAACCTGTTCCAAAGCTCCCAGCTGGACCTACAGTGCTGGGAGCCCTGCTGAAACCTCCTTGAAGAGAAGTCTGAACTCCTTCCTGTTCCTTGCATACAGCCAGTTGTGCTCTGACACCAAGAAAAAGGGTATCAACTGAGTCCGTATTGGGTGTCAGAGTCAAATGGCTAATCAAACCACAAGCCTGACAAGACAATCATTCCTACTGGATTTTCAAGTTGTGGTACATAATTCTTACAAATAGCAAACAAGACTAAGTTGGTGTGACTGACTGATTTGCAACCCCCTTTTTAAAGGGAAACCCAAACCCATTCTTTACCCACAAACTATATTATCTCCAGGATAAATACAAATACTTAAGATCAAAGCCCCCACTTTACACTGTCCTGTAAGTGGCTAAAAACAGGGACCAAGTTTTCTTCCCTCCGTCCCCTCCTTCCTTACATTCTCCTGCATAGCAACTTGCACTGACTGCGCTTGAGGAAGATGGAAAAAAAGAAGGGCTGAAAGAGGCATCATTTAGGCCACTGTCCTTCAAAAGAATGGTCCCCACAACCGAGTCCAGCATCTTTTATGGAACCACCATAAGGACCATCATCCCTGTGGCCTTCAACTGTTACACAATGGTGCGAGGTTGCTGGAAGAGGCCATGCTGCAAGGGCTGAAGCTCACTTGTTTCATTAGCAGCTGGAAGGACAGCTGGCTAGCCTATGACCTAGCCATGCGACTAAGAGAGGGAGGCCCAGAGGGCTACAGTGATTTGCTTTGTGGTTTCTCCCAGCAAATCACCTCTTCGGTGTCAAGAGTCATCTCAAACACTTTTTTTTGTTGGTGTTGCTATTGCCTGAAAAATTATCACTGCTTGAAAAACAATACTAAGAACTGCAACCACAGCAGTGGGGCTGGCACAGACTCAGTGAAGAGCAACCTGAGACACTCTAGAAAAGTACCTGCGTCCTGCATTACTAGTGAAACAGAATTAATAATATATGAGCGTGTGGTTTGCTGCAAGAGAAGGATGAAGGACAGCTTTTCAGCTAGCAGCTCAGCGACTGCACTGGGGAGAAGGAAGTAAGGAAGCTATGAAGTTCACTTTAATTTATGCCCTGTGAAACCTCTTGTACTTCGTGCGTGTGTTTATTTCACACAGACCACAACCTTCTGGACTACTTAACCTGATTTTATGTAATAAAGTTACATTTATACCTTCCTGTGCTGTTGAGAGTGCAGTATATAAAGATATAATATGGCAGTAGATATATCAAACACAGACATACAGAGAACCTGAGGGGGTTGCTTGGCTTTTTTTAGTGCCAGCATGGCCTTATTCAGCCGTCTACGTAATTCAGCCTAGCTCACTGTTTTAACAAACACAAACACAGGGTTGCAACCTTTCACTCTTCCCCTCTTCCTCATCCACATCCCTGGAGGCCTCAGTGGCCACCAGGGCATGACAAGACAGGTCATAAAGACAAGGCTATGCTATTACTTGCTGCTCTGAATGAGCCTAAATCCTGTCAAGTGCTTCTGCCACATAAACCTCTACTTTTCCAAATGGAAAAACAGGGGGGTCGAGGAGGGAGTAGAAAAGGCGAGTGTGTGCCCAGCTAGATCTAGATGCTTTTTTTTTTTTTCATTTAACTTAGTTTCTTCTTTTAATTTCAAAAGAATTATGAAATGCTACTGCTGTCCAAAAATACTGAACTAAGGCTTGACATACGTACCACCCACAAAGTTACATTTGGACTCAGGATCAACATTTTGGAAAACCAGGCCAAATCGCACCGGGAGCCAAAAGAGATGTCAGAACGAAAGAACTAGGACTGACATGATGTTACTCATATGCTAACTGGAATCTGCTCTAAATACATGGTGAAAAAAATCACCAGAAGCTGCTAAATGCACAAGACAATCTATGGAATAAGTTTCCTACAGTGCTGAGGTCATTAGCAGTGCTTTAGGCACTTTACATGAAAGATTATCAAAGTTATCTGCATATTGCTGGATCAGAACTTGAAAAACTGGTCAGCTCCCAAATACAGATTTCAGAGCCAAAATCCTGGATAATTTCTTACATGTGTTATGCATTCTCTTGCCATATAATTTGTTCTTAAAATTTGCCTTCTGAAAGCACACACAAATTCACATTAAGTGTAGAAGCTGTTGATGACCAAAAAAAAAGAAACCACGTTATATTTTCTTCCACAGCAAACTGTGTAAGGTTACTGGTCATGAAAAGTATTGTGTTGGCATCCCCAGGCACTACAGATGGTGGTGAAAACACAATCTACCCTGACCTGGAAGGCTCAGTTCTGTAAATGACAGGGGAATCCAGACTCCACGCTCTGCTTTTCCGCAGAACTTGGCTTTAGGAAGTTTGTCTGTATTTCACATCTCTGCTAGTGACACCTGATAGTAAACTGAGAACTAAACCTAAGTAAGAGCAAAAAGAATTGTCTTCAAAGGGCTTGAGCTTGAAGCCTAGAGCAAAACCCAGTTGGGGCAAGCAAGCAAGAAAAAGCACTATGGCTTCAGAAATGTCTTAGCTCATACTGAAGAAGGCTTTCCTTTGAGACAGGTTTGTGGATTCAGTGTATTTCTAGCACTGCTTTGCTACCACCATCTAAAAAAACCCATACCCAGAACCATCCCCTCAAAAAAACCCAACCAACAACAAAACCACCAACCAACCTCCTGTCCCCCAAGTTCAACTTTCCTTGGTCATACCAATAGAAAACTAGATTTTAATCCCTGAGCAACATAAAACTTGACAGAACCTTTTTTCCCCCCCTCCCACACAAGGAATCAGTCGATTGAAGCTAACCCTTTGGATAACAGAGCTTAAATCCCAACCCAAGAGGAACTATTTATCTGTACTGTCTATTGAACTACAGGCATCAAACCAGTATAAGTGCATGCTTACTACCAAGAAGAAAATATGTGTAGTGCCGGTTAGGCACAGAACCACTGAAAATGATGCAATTTATGTCCCAATCCAGCCGTATTTTTTTTTTAAATGTCTCTACACATATGTGCTTCTGCAGAGTCAGAATCTCTAAATCCAGACAATGACGTCTGATACTAAGTACCCTCTGTGTAGGTTAGCTTTAATGTTCCAGTGCTTCAGTATCTTTCCCCTACTGCTCATCTGACATATAGTTTAATGAGGCAAAACTACGATAAACAAAGATAGTAAAAGCACACAAACCATAGTAAAAGATAATAAAATCACAA